GGGTTTAGGGTTTAGGGTTACCCTCGAGGCCATGCAAGCGGAGCCCGACGGATCCTTCAGCGCTGAGGTGCAGCTCCTCAAGGCTCGTTCTTTGTGGGGGGGGATCGCCGGACATGTATTATTCTAGCTTGGGTTTATTTAGTTTTTTAGATTTCAGCGTTTTTTTCATACATCTTCTGTTGAGTTGCAAATCTGTTGACGGGTTTTCGAGGTGTTTTGCGGGTATTTATAGGATTCTGCCGGATGCGAGATGCCGGTTAAGGGAGAAGGGACTGGGGTTGAGGGTTCAAGGCGAAGGGTTCAGGTGGCTGGGTTTTCAGGGTTTCAAGGTCTAGGCTTACCGCTTAGGGTTTAGGGTTTAAACGGTTTAGCCTAAAGCCTAAACCCGCTGAGGTGCATTTTGCCTTTGCCACCCGATGCGGGATTTAGGGGTTTCGGCTCCAACAAAGTTTCACTGTTCTGCAAGGTCTTTATTAGCATTGGTGTCGGGCTCCATACTGCATTCGGTCTTAAGAGGGTTTGTTTTTCAAGGTAGTGTTACAATTTTGTTGTAAGTGCTTTGTGCTCTTCTTAACGGATTGTCGTTGCCTTTGGTGAAAAAGGATACCAGTCTTCAGTTGTTTTGTCGACCTGGCTGTTCTAAGTGGGTTCAAGGTAAAGTGGCTTACACGGTTTGGGGTTTAGGGTTTNNTTAGGGTTTAGGGTTTATGGGCTTCGAGGTGATTAGGCTTTTTGGTCTTGGTGCCGCTCACAGCATATCAACTTTGGGAATGACATGACGAGGAACATCAAACAAGGGTTATATACAACTAAACTTACATGACAGTAACACTTGCTTTGATCCTTCTGAGTGTTCAAATCCTCGAATCTCAACCCCTAAGCCCAAAAAAATCCCAAACAACAAACCCCAAACCCCAAACCCCAGACCCCAAACCCCTAAACCCTAAACCCCAAAGCCCAAACCCTAAGCCCTAAACCCTAAACCCGCCCTGAGGCCCTCAGCAACTTCCAAATCTTCCGGGACCAAGACTTCGAGCAGGGCCTGTATCCGGTACCTGGCTGGCGGTTTAGGGTTTAGGGTTTAGGGAATCGGCTTTGGTGTGTATCATGATTATTCTTAGCATGGGTATATTTATTCTAAAGTTTATGTTTATTGGTATTATAGTATACTACATAATTAAGAATAGTAGTATTATGGTAATATTTTTATTATCATTATTAGTAGTAGTAACAATAAGACTATCAGGTATATTAATATTATGATTATTATTCTCCTTGTTGCCACTATTACGATAACGAACTTCTGAGGAGTAAGCTGCTTTTCTAAAGGTTTAGGGTTCAGGGTTTTATAATTTTTGGAGTTTCAGGGTTTTGGGGTTTAGAGTTTAGGGTTTAGAATCTTAGTTTTGGGTTAGGGGCTGCTAAGGTTGGCGGTTTCGGATATGATTTGTTCGGGTTCCCTGATTAATTTCTTCACCTCTGTGTTGCGGCTGGCATCTGTCTGGTGCAAAGATGCTTTTAGGGTTTAGGGTTTAGCGTCTATCACGAGGGATCTTGTGTCGAATGAGACTGTTGCAAGCCGTAAACCCGAGCGCCCAAGCCGCACAAGTTCTTTTTGCAAGGCCCTTTGTAAATACCCCGTACTTGTAACACCGCAAGCTCCGCCTAAATGAAAGGCCCAAACCCCCAGCATCGTCAACATCCCCAAAGCCTCTAAACACCTCAAGTTCCCGCCCTTCCTGCAGGCACGCGAGGCCATGACGAGGGTGGCAGGCAGGACTCGCACTTCTGTTGTATGCCATGCTGGCAGGCTCTAGCGCCTGCGGTTTAGGGGTTCAGGGCTTCAGGAAGTACTTGTTTGGGTTTAGGGTTAAGCAACCTATCAGTGTAGATATCCTTAATGGTCAACCTCCTTACCATGTCCGGATCTTTTGAGTATCTTCAGTCTCAAACAG